CTTCATTAATTTTATATTACATAATCAAGATTGACAAAAAGAAAATTTTATAAAATCACATTTCGTTTTTTGGAATTGTACCATATATAAAATTAATTTTTTTCTTGATTTAGAAGTAGAATTGCAATATAGAATTAAAAATTCAATATCTTTTTTAACGTTTCAATAAATATGTTTATAAGAAAAAATTATAATTTTAAATGTTTTATTAAAATTGAAAGTTATCAAAGTTATAATTAATTTAATTAGGTTAATTAAATGAATAGCCATTCATATGAAAGCCATGAAAATTCTATAAAATTAAGTATTCACTTTTATAGTTTAGTTATGGTATATTATTTAAAATAATTATATGTTATATTTGTATATATAATTTTTAAATAAATAAAATTTTATTTTATTTTAAATTTAATTTATTTAAGATATGCATTCTTAAGTAAAAATTTATAATTGTTACTGAAAATTATTATTTTACCTAAATAAATTGATTATCCTTAATTCTTACAGAGAATAATAAAGTTTTTAGTGGAAGGTTACAAAACAAACTGCCTTGTGATTATAAATATTCAAGTTCTCAAATTTAATCTAATAGTATTGTCATAATATTCAAAAACTTCTCCTTACTGATTATATTTGATTGGAAAATAAGTAGTTTTAAATTATCCTTCTATGTAAAATATTATTTAAATTTTGTAAAGTTAATTTTAGCTAAGAAAATAAGCTAATTTGTATTTTATTGATTCAATTTTAATATAAATTTACCACTAGTAAATTTGTTAAAATAATTTAATAAAAATATCTTTATTTAGAATGTTTTTTTAATCTTTATGATTATGTATAATTTTTTTATTAGTACTCTAAAATTTCTGAAAAAAGAATCATTTTACATAATAGATTTGCTATTTTTATTTCATTAAATTTCTTTTTTATTTAGAATATAGAATATATTAATATTATAATCAGAAGGAATGAATTTTCTATAGGTGTAAAATATTTATAGATAGTTAATTTTTAAAGAATATATTAAATTAATGTTGGATTATTTATATAATTTTCATTATTCTGTATATTTTCGAATTTAAATTTCCTCTGATTTTTTATCCCATGTAATCAAATAATCTCCATTATCACTGATACTTCCAAATAAACAATTGGTTTCAAAATCAATAGATTATTCTATTAAAAATTCTTCATCTTCTTTAAATTTGATTAAATTAATAAATTAACCTATTTTATTAATTAGAAGATTCTTTGATTTTATAAATTATTAAGGAAATAATTGACTATTATAATCTGTACCACATTTAACCTAAAAGGTTTTCTTCTTAATAAATTATTTATTTTGATTATTAAATTCATAAATATGCATACAATCTTAAGCATATGGTTAAAATGTAAAAAGATTATCATTTATAAAACATAATCTGTGTCCATATTTTTCTACATTTATTTTTTATATAACACTCCATTTTTTGTTCCACCATGATTTTCCAATGACTAGAATTGTGTTATCATAACTACATGAAATTAATTAATTCTATTAATTATTTAAGCTCAACCCATAAACATCTTTAGAGTGATCTGTAATAGTTTATTAACATTCCCATTTTATTTATTTAATCCAAAACTTAATTTTTTTATCCTCACTACCAGATATAATAAGATTTTCATTATTATTTAATATTAAACAAGTAATATATCCACAATGCCCATCTAATATTTATTAACAAATCCATAAATGATTTTATTTATTTGTCCAGACTCTTATTTATACATCACAACTTCCAGATATAAATTCATTTGATTTCTTCATAAATGTTAAAGTGTATATTTTGTTTCTATGTTCACTTAAAGTTTAAATTTTCTTCATTAATCCTTAAGAAAATTCAAAAATATTTATATCTTTGTCTTATGCTGCTACTACTATTGAACAGTCTTTATTGAATGCTATAGCGTTGCAAGATTCTACTTATTTGATTGAATATTCCTACAATAATTAATAATTTATTGGTTGAATGAATCCATCGATTTTTAAAGATGTAATTTAATTATTTTCATTTTACATAATACTATATTTTTCATTCTTATTATTTGTAAGAATGACTTAGGAATTGTTTAATATTTCCTCTAATTTTTATTATGATGAAGAAGTTAATAAATTCCAATTAATTTAATATATATTTAAATTGCTTTCAATTTATTTAAAGCTTTTTTGATTACTAATATCATCTGCCATTTCTAAAATTTATTCATAATTTTTAAATAATAAATTTTCATATTAAATTTCCTCCTAAGTTTTCAATAAAACTGTTTAAAGATGAGCAAATGCCTCATTTATTTCATTTTTGATTTTTATAATTTATTTCGTAATCTAAGCCTGAATGTCAAAAATTATATTTTCTAATTTTTTAGTTCTAGTTTGAATATTCTCTTCAAAGTGCCTGTAACATTTTTATTTCTTTTTTTAATAATTTATCCATTAAACTTAAAAATCTTGAATACTTGTATATTAAATATTATTTAACTATATGCATTTACAGCAATTTAATCTATTAGGACTTTGTTAAACTTCATTTAAATCAATCATTTAAATTTAATAGTCTTCATGAAATTTACAAAACAACTATAAATTCTTAGAATCCTAATTCAATTATTATTAATACAAACTACAAATAGTTTAATTGAGATAACCATTTATGTCAGTGTTTATTAATTTAAAAAGTTTTTAATTCAAACTTAATGTATTCTTTGAAACTTCATCTATATTATTTGTAAGAAGTTCTTATAAATTTTTATAATTAATTTATTGATTTTCAATTTATAAAAATTATTCCACAAATTATTCAATATTTTAAGTAGTCATGTTTAAAATCTAATTTTCTTATTTAGTTTATAAATCTAATATAATTTGCATTTATTAATTAAAGCACTCTAAAGAATTCTGAAGATCTGATTAAATTACTTATTTTAACATTCTAACATTTTCTTCTATTACAATTAATTAATCTTTATTCTTCTTACCAAAGACTACTTTATCTTCATATAATTTAGATCTTAGCTTGACTAATTCTAATTTAATATCATCTTATCCATTTGATTAATTATCTCCTTTTTCTCTAATCCTTTAAACAATAAGATTATTTAATAATTTTGAGAATTGAGAGTTATCTATACTCTTAAAATTATTACCAAGGTTTTGATTTATATTGTACATTATCAATAATATTGATATTTTTATTATATAAAACGACTAAATTTCAATAAAATTTAGAATCAACATTTATTATAATTAGACTGAAAATCAACAACAAAATAATTTAACAATATTTTTTTAATAGAAGAATTCAAAACTTTATTATTATAAGAATGAAAGTCTGCCATTAAATATAAATAATAAATTCTAAATTTTCAATAAAAATAGCTAAATTAAATTATATAAATATTTTCAAATATAATAAAAATTTTAAATTAAGCTAAGTTGTCAACATATACATTGTAAACTATCAAAAATAGATCAAGTTAATTATAATCGAATATTTAAATAATAGATCATTTCTAATTAAATATTAATTTTAAGTAATGTTGAATTATTAAAATCAATTTATTTTGATTATGTATTTTTATTTATAAGTTATACTTGCCATCATATATTAGCTTTAAATTTCTTTGGTTTACCAGAGCTTTATCATTTAATTAGTAATATCTGAAACAGGGTTAATTTTCAACTTAATTAAAAGTTAATTTTTTATAATATCTAACTAAAAGTTTTAATCCTTCTAACCTATGATTTTATATAATGATTTTTTTTTACTTTTTTAATTAAATTTTTGATCTAATATTAACTATAAATGAAGAATTACAATTTTTAGATTTAACTATAAAAATATTTTTTTATTAGATTGATGCTTATTAGAATGTTGTTCTAAGCAAAACTCTTATGAAAATTTTTTGAAGTTGAAAATTAAATTGTTTTATTGATAAAGATATTATAATAAATAATTAAATTGCTTAAATTAATTTAACTTACAATTTGGGTTTTTGTATCAGGTGCTCAAGTTATTTTTGATTAAGATTATAGTTGAATTATTATTATTTTATATTTGAAGATGATGGTTAAATAGATAAAGATTAAGTTTTAATTTTTAATTCATATATGAAATTGTTTAAAGAATTATTATTTTTTTTTTTAGATAATAACAGTTCAAATAATTGAAAAAAGTGAAAAATGTTAAAATATGATATTATAATTTCTAAATTGATACTTATCAAATTGTCTTTTCAATAAAAGATTGGCTCTAATGATAACTCTTCTTTTTTCCTGGAATTTTCTATCAATTTCATTAGTTTTTTTAATTACTATTTGATGTCAATAAGAAAAGAGAAAGTTAAAATGAAAGAGAAGGTAGCAATATGCAACCATCCTAAATTTATTAAATTTTCTGTTGTTAATCCCAATTCAATTCTGTAATAATAAAAGATAAATGAAATTACATTAAAAATTATTAATGATTCTGTCAATAAAATTTTAATATATTCATTATAATTTTTTAATGGTTTATTGAGAATAAAGTGTGTAAAAAAGACTGATTGGAAAAATGAGATTATTAAAGTTTAAATTAATCCATTGTCTTACAAAAATACGATTAAAGAAATAAAAATAAGTTTCTTAATCATTTAAACAGTGTTATATTAAATTGTCCAAATTTTATTATTATTATTAATTCCTTCAAATATTTCTTGGTACTTGGAACGATTCCTGAGTGAAGTCTATTTTGAAAGGATAGTAGAAATATTCATCAAAAATAGGATAGCTAAAATAAATCCAAAATAAAATAGATATGAAAAATAATAATTGATTAGTATATAAATATTATTATTATCTTATGGGTAATATTACATTTGAATTGCACAAGCAAAACATATATCATAAGAATTTGAGAGAAGTAATCTTAAGATAGCATTATAATAGAATTCTTTTATTTGTATTTTCAATTTATTCCTAGAACTTATTATGATTTTACTAAATTTAAAACCAATCCAATTAATTTGATTTTAACCCATTTTATTGAGGAAATAATATGCAATTTTAGCAGTGAAATAACTCATGTATGTTGTTATTAAGCAGAATAAAAAACTTTCAAAATTCAAAAGGAAATATGCATTGATATCATCTTATAAGAATTTATTAGTAGTTTCAATAGTAAAATTTCCGTTTCCATCTAAAGCATCAAAAAATTTTTGGAAACCTAAAGCAGAAATTAATGGTGAGACAGTTATCAATTGAAAAACATCAAAAAAGATGTTCAAATTAGGTGAAAATTGTATATTAATGTACTTGATATATGATAAGTATTACAATTAATCCATAAGATTCCAAAAGACTTCTGATTAGCCAGTCATTAAGCAAATAGAAGATACACTTGCTAAGGATATGATGACTGCTTAATTAAATTTTTAAGTTTATTAGGCAATAAGTACTTGCTAAGATGTTAAGACAATAGGAGTTTATAATTAAATAGTTTGTTCGTTTTTGCTAAGTGTTTAGTTGAATTCAGATAGGATAGGATCATTGAGAAATATTATTTAAAAAATAGGATGTTCAATAGATTTGAGAAGTAAAACTTCAAATTTAAAATCTAATTAGGAAACTTGATCATAAGATATTGTAAGTTCATTAGTCATATGAATATTATAATCTTGATATTCAAGACCAAGAATATTAGTTTGAATATAATCAGTTAAATTATTATTAATATGTGGTGAGAACTTAACTTTTTCATTAAATACAATTTAGATATTGTAAATTCCATAAGCATTAGATTTAAGGAGAATTAAAGAGAAATCTGGTTTTTTTTCAAATGAGCAAATAGAGAAAGTATTTAAATGACTAATGCATATCCAATCTTCTTCAATAAGACATTATGAATTGCATCCATCTCCATTTTCATTATTTGCATCATCACATTATTCAAACATTTAAAGATGATATCCATCTCCACATTTTGATTAACAGAATAATCCAAAAAGATGCATTCCAATAGGACATTCTTTACAAATGCCATCTTCACAATCAGTACAATATTAATCACACATAAATTTACATTCATAACATCCATCATTTGCAATAGAATTCATATCATCACATTATTCATTTCCAATAACAAGACCATCACCACAATAAGGAGTACATTTATTATCTTTGATAATCCATCCTAATTAATTACATTCATAACATATTCCTAATTCACATAATGTACATAATTATTCACATTAAAATTCACATAAATAACAACCATCATATGGAATATCATTACCATCATCACATTATTCATTTAAATTAATTAAAATACCATCTCCACATACAGTAACACAAATATTATTATTATTAAGTTCCCAACCACTAACGTCACAAGCTTTACAATAACCACCTACACAATCAGTACATTAATCTTAACATAAATATTTACATTCGAAACATCCATCTGAACGAATCAGATTTCCATCATCACATTCTTCATTCCCTAAAACTAAATAATCTCCACATATTGGAAAACATTCATTAATAATAAGTTACCAACCTTAATAATCACACTCTCTACATACTCCAAATTCACACAAAGTACATTCATCTTAACATTTAAAAAAACATTTAGCACAACCATCATTCTCTACATCATTACCATCATCGCATTGTTCATTACCTAATACTATTAAATCTCCACAAATTGGTTAGCAATTCATTTCAATTAAATTTAATTACCAACCATCTTATATGCATTCAAGACATTATCCATCAACACATATAATACATTATTCTTGGCATTAGACTTTACAATTCGAACATTCATTAAATAATTGTAAATCACCATTATCACATTATTCATCCTGGGTAATAATACCATTTCCACAAATACTATTACATATATTTTTTATTTAATCTAAAGAATATCCAAATTAACATTCTAAACATATTCCATTTTCACAAATCTCACAAAATTAATTACATTAAAATTTACATTCATAACAACCATCTTATGAAGTGTTATTTCCATCGTCACATTATTCTTAATTTGTTAAATATCCATCTCCACATTATGATAAACATTAATTAGTAAGTATATCAAGTTAATTTGAGATTTAATTACATTATAAACATTAACCTTGAAAACAATGTTCACAATATTTAGGACAATCATATTAGCCATGAAAACAACCATCTTATGCTAATAAATTCATATCATCACATTATTCATTTCCCATTACTAATCCATCATTCAAGATTTCATAACATTTACTATTGACATTATGATATCCATTACTACATTAAATGCATTTTCCAAATTAACATAAAATACATGATATTTAACATTAATTTTATGATAGATAACAACCATCATACATTATTTAATTATTATCATCGCATCGTTCATCTCCTACTATATATGAATCTCCAGATAAAGGATAACATTTTTTGTCTATGAATAAAACCCATCCTTTTTTACAATTCATACAATTACCATTCTAACAGAATAAACAAGAATTTTAACACTTTTTTTTACATAAATAGCAAGTTTCATCAATTAAATCATCACATTCTTCATAATTAAGCACAGTAATTCCATCTCCACATATAGTTTTACATTCTTTTTTTTACTCATCTAAATACCATCCAATTGTATTACATTCTAAACAACCATCTTAAATACATAATGTACAAGATTATTAACAATTTAATTAACATCCATCTTGTTATATTATTATACATTTTTATGTTATATATTCCCATTTATATCCTTGAATACAAACTAAACATAATCCTCTATAACATTATTAGCAATTTGAATCACAAATAAACTAACATTAATTACAAACAGAATCAATATCATTATTATCACATTCTTCATTTTCAAAAACAAGTATGTTGTCTCCACAAATACTTTTACATTATCCATCCTCTTATAAGTACCAACCACTTAATTCATTACATTTGTAACAAATACCAAATTAGCAATTTATACAATTTTCTGAACATTAAAATTAACAATTAAAGCAGCCATCAAAAGGTACAATATTTCCATCTTCGCATTATTCAGGAAATACTGAATTCGCATCTTAACATTTTGGAATACATTTATTTTATATTAATTAATAACCATCTAAACAATTTATACATACAGAATTTATGCAGGTAAGACAAAATATATCACAAGAATATTAACAATAATTACATCCATCTGATGGATTAGAATTTCCATCATCACACATTTCAGTTAAACTTGTAACTATACCATCTCCACAAATAGAATTACATGAACCATCAAATTAAACGTACCATCCTTTTTCTTCATCACATTTTAGGCATATTCCAAATTCACAATTTATACAATTGCTAGAGCATACAAATTAACAATTTACACAGTTTTTTGAGTCTGTTGTGCATTATTATAACAAGGTAAGATCCTTTTCTTGACAAATTGATCGGCAGTCATTATTATAAACTTCATAACCACTTTTACATAAATAACATTTTCCATTGAAGCAAATATCACATGCAAAATTGCAAGCAAATTTACAATTATGGCAACCATCAAAGGGATTGTTATTACCATCATCACAATCTTCATATTCTACTACTAATTAATCTCCACAAATAGGAAGACATGGTAAATTTATTCCATCATCATAATATCCAGGCAAACATGAACATTAATTAAATTAGATTCCTCTGTAATATTCCTTTACACAAGTAAGACAATTTTATTAAGAATTACCATAACAATTTTCACAATATTTATTGCATGATAAACAATTATTGCTTTATAAGAATGTAAATGGATTGCATAAACAAATTCCATTTTATAAAATAAATTTATTATTAACACATTAAGTACATTTTTCTGCATTTGTACAAGTATTACATCCAGATTAATTGCAGTTTTTGCAAGTGTAATCTTAAGTTTGTGAATCAAATTCTAAATATTAATTACTACCACAATTAGAATTAGTATAACTTGAATCTGAACATAAATTTAAACTAGTACAGCTAGCGCAAAAAGGAGGACACTATTTTAAATTAATATTTTACATAATGAACAACAATAAAATATTCTGATATTGCACAGAATTCTTTTGTAATATTTGGAGTTGATACTTAACATTAAAATTCAACATAGAGACTACTTGAATAAAAGTTTGTCAAACTAACATTAAAAAAACGTGTGCTTTCTAAACCTGCTAGACCTGTCAAATTTTATCCTCCACTAGGTTTAAGAAAGGGTCCTTGAAAAGATGCGCTAGTTAAACCTATTTTATAATAAAATGATCCTGTGTAATCATCTCCATATGTTAAATTAAAATAAACAGTGACAGCATAATGAGGCTTCTATATTGACCAAGACTTAGAAAATATACCATTATTCCAAACCAATAAACCACCTAATACTATTTTATTATTTAAAAAAGAAAATGTCTATGATGTTGAAAAACTACTAGATGATTCTGTAAAAGAATCATAAAATTTTAAGATTTCTTGATAAGTCATATTTAAATCATAAAATCCTTTTGCTATATATCTAGAATCTAATAATTAATAAAAAAATAAAATTACATGGAATTAAATCTTCATAGTCTATACAATTAGATGAATGGATGGGACAAGACTGTTGTACACATTTATTTTTATATAATTTATATGTTGTATTACACTATCCACAAGTATAAAAATCAGTACAAACCAAACAATTTTCTTAACAAAATCCTGTGTCAACAGTGAAATTTCTTAACCCCCAAGATTCAGTTTTATCCTAAAGTTATCCCTAAATTAAAATAGCAGGANATTCCTTTACACAAGTAAGACAATTTTATTAAGAATTACCATAACAATTTTCACAATATTTATTGCATGATAAACAATTATTGCTTTATAAGAATGTAAATGGATTGCATAAACAAATTCCATTTTATAAAATAAATTTATTATTAACACATTAAGTACATTTTTCTGCATTTGTACAAGTATTACATCCAGATTAATTGCAGTTTTTGCAAGTGTAATCTTAAGTTTGTGAATCAAATTCTAAATATTAATTACTACCACAATTAGAATTAGTATAACTTGAATCTGAACATAAATTTAAACTAGTACAGCTAGCGCAAAAAGGAGGACACTATTTTAAATTAATATTTTACATAATGAACAACAATAAAATATTCTGATATTGCACAGAATTCTTTTGTAATATTTGGAGTTGATACTTAACATTAAAATTCAACATAGAGACTACTTGAATAAAAGTTTGTCAAACTAACATTAAAAAAACGTGTGCTTTCTAAACCTGCTAGACCTGTCAAATTTTATCCTCCACTAGGTTTAAGAAAGGGTCCTTGAAAAGATGCGCTAGTTAAACCTATTTTATAATAAAATGATCCTGTGTAATCATCTCCATATGTTAAATTAAAATAAACAGTGACAGCATAATGAGGCTTCTATATTGACCAAGACTTAGAAAATATACCATTATTCCAAACCAATAAACCACCTAATACTATTTTATTATTTAAAAAAGAAAATGTCTATGATGTTGAAAAACTACTAGATGATTCTGTAAAAGAATCATAAAATTTTAAGATTTCTTGATAAGTCATATTTAAATCATAAAATCCTTTTGCTATATATCTAGAATCTAATAATTAATAAAAAAATAAAATTACATGGAATTAAATCTTCATAGTCTATACAATTAGATGAATGGATGGGACAAGACTGTTGTACACATTTATTTTTATATAATTTATATGTTGTATTACACTATCCACAAGTATAAAAATCAGTACAAACCAAACAATTTTCTTAACAAAATCCTGTGTCAACAGTGAAATTTCTTAACCCCCAAGATTCAGTTTTATCCTAAAGTTATCCCTAAATTAAAATAGCAGGATTAGAGTCAAAAATTTAAAATGTAATCTCAACTCTTAATAAAGTATAACTTTCATCACAACTATTAAATTTCTCAAATATTTTTAATAAATTTACAACCTAAAAACTTGATTAATCTTTTGTAATAATAGATTATATTTGATTGTTTTAAAGGATTGTAATTTTACTTTAGACTTTAAAGTTAAATAAATAAAAGGTTATACGAATTCTTAAAAATTTTACTCCTTATTCAAAGCTCATTTAATAAAGCAAACCTTCACTAAATTAAAGTTTTCCTATAAAACTGATTCCATTACAATTTTCATAAACTAAATCAGTATTTTTAGGATTAAATTCATCTTTAATAAATATTAAAGGAGAATATCGTTCATTTGATTGAGGAATATTTGAATTTTAAAATAATGTTAAATTTTATTTTATACGAGTGTCATTTACACAAATTTTATCAAAACGAGCTAATGAATAATTCCTATCACATTCTTACCTACAACCTATGAAAGTTTCAGAAAATTATTAATCAGATATGCATTAACATTTACCACCTGATAAATTTTAATTATTAAAACAGGTTAAACATTCAACTTCTGAAGGTCCATTACAAGTTAAGCAAGTTGGATGACAAGTATTTACATAAACAAGCATATTTCTTATTCCAATTACCATATCATCATCATCAGGATCAAAACAAATTTTAATATCGAAATTATTTGTGTTTGAAATACTACTTGTACTAACTATTGTTTTTAGATCAAATTTGCTTGAATCACTAATACATATTCGACCACTATTTTATTATAAATGGCTTTCTCTATATACTCTTTCATATATTTTTTAATCACTTGATGATCCTTGATTACTATCATAGAAAACTTTTAAATATGAATTATCATCATCATCAGCATCTTCAAAAAAGGCATCAAAAATTACTTAAACTTAATAGCATCTATAATTAAAGGATTTTTATAAATATCGCTCATCATCTGTCAATTTTACATACTATCGGAAATTCTAACTACAAGTTCCTTTTTTGAATGAAGTATCAGAACCAGAACAACTCTCTTTCATTTCCCAATCATTTTCGAAAATTTGTATATCTGAAAAACTATAATCTATAAGTCTCCAATCGGCTAAAACTTGAAGAATGATGAAATAAAACTAAGCACAAGCCATTAAATGAAAAAACATAATATGATGCTAAAGTATAATTAAAATTTCAATTAATATTTCTTAATTACGTAATCTATTGCGCAAGTAAGAGTTTTTATTAATTAACGAGTATTTAAAATTATGCTTAACATTCAATCTTTTTGATTTGTTGTTAATTAGACATTTAAGTTTCTAATTTTGTATTTATTATTAAGTATTTTAGCATAGCATAGACTATATAAATTTTTAATCTTTTTTTAGGTTAATTTATATAAAAATATTTAGAAAAATGTTTAGGCTAAAAGGAAAATATTATTGAAAATTAAACTGTCTATGGTTTAAATTTGTTAAACACTCCACCAGAAAATCAAATTGTATCTCTAAAATTTTTTTTTTATTGTTATCTACACTTATTTTTAGGGATGATCTATTCTCTAAAATGTTAAGAATTTAATTATAGAATTAGAGTAGATGAATTCTAATAAAATTTTATATATATAACATTTCATTTATATTAGAGAAAAAAAATTATAAAAGCATTAAATTCAATAAAATTCTCTAAGTTTAAAGATATTGTGTTATTTAGATTTTTAAAATGAAATGAATAGTAAAATTATTCCATTTTAGAAAAATTTAAGATAAAATAATTTTAATGATTTAAATAAATATATTTTTATTGGATAATTTGTTTGATCACATAAAATGCAGTTTAGAAGAAAGACCTAGTTTTGATAAAAGGATAACAATTATATTTCATGATATTATTTAAAAATGATTCTTTCAGGTTCTAAACCGATTTGCTTAAAAAGTAGAATTGAGTTTTTCATAAATAGGGACATTTTCTTATAAAACATAATTATTCATATAAAATTTTCAATGTAATAATTTAACCATTTCATTTAGATAAAAAGTTTCAAATCTCTTGATAAGGTATATTCAAATAGAAAGGAGATCCTTAAGATTAAAATTCATATTAAATGTTTGCATATATTTATATTTTTTTATTTTTAAATACTTGAATAAGAGTAACTATCTAAGAAAACTTGTTATTTGAGTTGTTTTTATTGGAATATTGTAAATTTTGAAAGTTAAATAAAATACTTTCCTTTAATGACAATTCATTTATTAAATTTATTCTTCATTTTTGCACTTAATCATATTTCTCAAAATGATATCAAAATATATATTGTTTAATATTTATAAAATACACCCCAAAAATTTCAGATTGTAGAAATTTTTTTTATTCTTGTCATGCTAAAAAATATTATTCTGATAATATATTTGTTTTTATTACATAATACATAATAGTATAGATTCAATTCTCACTATATTTAATTGATTTCTCTTTATTTCAAAAACAATGAAAATAAAATTAATGAGATTTTACAATCTTATATGCCTTGAAATTATAAATTGAGTAAATTATGAAATGATTTCTTACAATCTCAAATGCTCTACTATTTAAGATGAAAGAGCTATAATTCATAAATAAAAAATTTAGTTAATATAGAATCTAAATAAGATTGTGAAAAATAAATATAAAAACTGAGTTATTATAGTAGTATGAATAATAGAAACTAATAGCAAAATAATGTTGTATACTTTTTTTTGTATTTTAAATAAAATTAAATTTAAACTAAAGACAAAGCTAGTGTTTGATATTAAGGAAACTTATCTATTTTCAAGTTTGATACAAAGCTCAATAACTTTAATCAAATTTTTAAAAACAGAATAGAAATTATAATGATTAATATTAATATATTCTTCAAGAAAATCATCGCTAATTGACAGTTATAAAACTAGTTTTCTCAATACCTATATTAATATTTTTTCTATCCAATCCCAGTTCATAAATTTTATTTTTAATACTGATATAATAATATTATAGAAGAAATCAATAAGTATTTTGAAAATAGATGGAGACTTGAAGAATAGTATATTTTAAAAATTTAAACAAAAGGAAGTTGAATTTTTTAATTTTACGCTAATAAAAAAAATCATAAAACTTGAAATAGATACCAAATTAATTATTTAACAATACACTGAATTTTTAGATTATAGAAATTAGAATTCTTTGAAAAAGGCAGAATCAATATTATAAATGCTCAAAATTGAATTATATATGTTTATTAAATGACAATTTATATTGTCAAACCTAAATAAAATATGAATAATATAAATTATAATAATATATAATAATAGTTTTAAATATATAATAATTCATCCGCAGAAAAACTTTAAAATACCTAATAAATTAGATTTAATATTAAAAAGAAATTGTTTTAATAAAAACAACAGTTAAACAAAAATTGATAAACTAATTAGGGTTATGATAACCCATCCAATATTAAATTTTTATTGGACATTTAATATTTGAGTGAAATCATCCACAGAAATCAACACATTCAATAGGGTAATGCAAAAGATACAAAAATCAGGTATTCCAACTCTAATTAATGATAGTTTGTCTTTAAATGGATTTTGGTAGAGAAGAAATAATTAATTAATTGAACACGAGATGGAGCATAATATAGTTTGTAAAATGGGTTTTCCGTAGAAATAAATAAGTGAAAAAATAAATGCTGCTTTTCTAATGATATTCCAATAACAATATTTTCTTGATAATGAATTTTCATAATTAATTGATGAGTAAATTGAAAAATATTTGCGTTGATATATAGAATTATTTAATAAATGAGGATGCTTTGAACTTACATTAATGTAAACTTAAAGAATTATTAATATAAAAATTACACTGATTAAGGCTAATGCAAAATTTATGATAATGATGTAATGATCAAAGTTTTAAGTACAAATTATTTGTAAAAGGCTTGCCATAAAAATATCTAATATAAATAAATCAATTATGGAAAATAAATTAGATTGAATATTCTATTTGTATTCATAAGTAACTTTAAAAAGAAAAAGTGTTAATTTAGATAATTTTTAAAGCTTTTATTTAAAAAGATCTGGATTTTATTTTTTTGCTTAATCTTGAATTTATATTTTTTAATCTTTTTAACAAATGGTATAAACATATATTTTATGTGTTTATAAAGTTGTAGCATTCAATTTTTTTTCAAAAATTTTAACAACAACACAACATAAAAAGTAAATGATAATAGAAATTATGATCATGCAAATGAATATTTGAACATTAACAATAAAAATAGGGTTAACATCTTTTTCAGTAAATTTTGGAGGAGCTTAAAAATAATAAATGTCAGTAGGTTAATTAAGTTGAATTAAATTTGGTATGGCAAAAATATCATCCCATTTGATTTGTTTAAAAAATTATTAAACATTGAGTGGATAGTTAATATCAAAAAAATAAAAATTATTAATCCATGTAAGAATTTCGAGAATAGTCCAAAATGAATCTAATCCACCAAGAATAATGGTTATAGGACCAAGCATTTATAAAATAACTTTAAATTAATTAGAAGCAGTAGCTATTTATTATGCTTATGCTTATTAGTTTTAATTGTAAAAGATTTATTTTCTGGGTATGATTACGATATCTTAAATTTCATCTAAAAATCTTGAAGAATTAATAGATTTTGGAATTAAAAGATGAATTAGATTAATTTCTGTAATTGTTTTATAAAATTAAAAGTCTAAATAACATCCAGAAAGTGATGTTTAATTAATTAAAAATGATTTTAAAGTGTAATTAAATTCTGTTGAATTAAAGTAATCGATTTTTATTTATATTTAAGAGCAGATATTAAAAAAATCAATCTCGCCAATTAATTCTAAATTATTATTAATAGTGGTTTTATTAGAGAAATTAGCTATTACTTTTTTATCTGGTATTTTTGAACATATATTTTTAACACATTCATATCCTTTTTCTATTTAACATAAAGAATTACAGCCATCTCCTGTTTAATTATTACCATCATCACATTATTCATCTGAAGCTTTAATTAAATCTCCACATTTAGATACACATTTTTATAGATTATAATTTGGATATAATCCTAAATCATTTTGACATTTTTCACATTTTTGAATTTTACATGATGTACAATTATTTGGAGTTTTTTCACATTCTAAACAGGATTCTGAACATTTAATGCAATCATTTCCAAGTAGGAAATATCCTTTTATACAAGAATTACAAATAATTTAATTATTGAAATATGTACAATAATTACAATTAGATGTGCAAGTAAAACAAAAACTTTAATTTTGAATGATTATACATTTGTAGCCTGGATCTATAATACATTATGTACATCCATCTCTAGAAACAATATTACCGTCATCACATTATTCTGATGTAAGTACTAATCCATCTCCACATTAATTAATACAAATTTAGTTTTAAATTATATATCCATCAATACATTAGGTACATTTACCATTAGTACATATTAAACAAAGTTATTCACATTCAAATTGGCATTAATAACATCCATCATAACGTAATTGATTACCATCATCACATTATTCATCTAAAGCTTTAATTTGATCTCCACATATAGTAAAACATGAGTTTGTTAAATCATTATAATATAATCCATTTGATTCATTACATAATTTCTTATCTAAACATGTTCCTTTCTTTTAATCAAAAAATAAGGATGATTAACATGATAGACATTTTCCATAATAACAATTTGTACATGTTTCTTAACATTAAAATTAACATTATGTACATCCGTCATAAATGATATTGTTTCCATCATCACAAATTTCTTGTATTGTTATTAACTTGTCACCACAAATAGAATTACAAGAATTATAAATAAGATCTAAATTAAAACCTTAATAACATTTGATACATATTCCTTAATGACATAATTAACAATTGAGAGGACAATTATATTTACAATTAGTACATATTTTGTCATAATTTTAAATCTAATAATCACATTCTTCATCTTTTGAAACAATTCCATCCCCACAAATCTAATGACAGTTTTGTTCTCTATTATTTTTAGTCAAAGTTTAACAATTTGATTATGAACATGATAAACAAAATTCTAATGAACATTCAATATCATTTTCAAAACAAGTAGTATATATGATAACATCTTATTAAAGTTTTAAATAGTTAATAATTTAATCATCATTTTATTATAGATTGTTTAATCCAAATGATAGAGTACTTTCAAAATAATTGAAATAAATTAATTTTAATAATTACATTTATTTAATATTATTTAATCCAAGTGATTAAAGTTGGATGACTTTTTGAAACATATTATATTCAAAAGGTTGATAGAATAATAATTATAAATGTGATGGATTGTAATAATAATTATGTATCTAATAATGGAATATATTTTATTATTATGGTAAATAATAACATTTTGATAGTAATAATGAATAGTTTGGTAAACATTTAAGACACCTACCTTGAATACAAAATGCACATGAATGTTAACAATTATATTAACAAAAATGACATCCATCATCATGAATAAGATTTGCATCATCACATTATTCATGAGATGTGACTATTTGATCACCACAAATAGTATAACATTATTTATCTCTTAATTCATAACCAATTTAACATTACAAACAACCATTGCCATTAATAAAATCACAATTAAGACATGATTCTGTACATTCGCATCTATGTAATTTTGGATTTAATCGATATGTATTTACACAATTATAACATATATTATCTATACATTTATTACATATTAAAGAACTTTAACAACTAAATTTACATGAAGATGAACAACCATCATTCTCAACTTAATTATTGTCATCACATTATTCCTAAATGTTTTTATCGGGAGCTGATACTATTATACCATCTCCACAATTATTAATACAATAATTTGATTTTGCAACAAGTCCATCTCTACATTCTAAACATTTCCCTTAATCAAAATCACATTTTTAACAATCTGGATAACAATAAAATAAACAATCCTTACAGATTAATTTAGTTGATTCAATATTATCATCACATTTCTCCTTACCTAATTTTATTCCATCTTTACATTATTCTTTACAAATATATTTATTATCCATTTATATATCTAAATACCATCCAATTATACCACATTCATAACATATTCCTCTCACACATTTTGTGCATTCACTTTAACACTCTAATTTACATTCAAAACAACCATCATTTTTTATTATATTACTATCATCACATTCTTCAATATCAGTTATCATTCCATCTCCACATTTACAATTAGAATAATTCAAATTACAAGGATCACATCCATTTTTTTAATCACAACCTAATAATATATCAAGACCTTATACATAATATTAATTACCACTTAATTTACAACTTATACTAATATTATCAAATTCATATCCTTAAAAACACTATTAACAATCATTTTATTAATTACATTTCTTACAAAATTATATACAAATTTTACAATCTCCATTATTTTCAAAATAACCATCTATACAAATACATTAACTATTTATTAATATTCTATATTTATCAATCTCACATTCTGTACAAACTTAATCATTTATACATTATTTGCAATTTGTAGGACACTATATACATGTCTATTGTTATTTATCCAAAAAATTATTATTATTACAAATACATCCTAAACTTGAATTTTCAAATCTATCCTTACATTATAAACAATTTTAAAAAGAGCTACATACTTAACAATTAATTGGACAATTAACACATTCTGTTAAATAAACATCGTAATATTAATTTAAATTAGTACATTAACTTTATTATATAGTTGGAGTATCATCTAAACATCTTGTTTAATCACAATTTAAACAATCTTTAATACAATAATGAATAGTTAAATAAAACTAATAAAATCCACAATAAGCTTCAATAGGTTCATTCTATAATCCTTAACATTCCCAATCAATTTTAAGTATATTGTAATTATGAACATATTTTTCAAATATTTTTTATTCTAGACCATTAGATGTATTCAACTCTTTTGTAAATTAATCATCAATATACAATATAAATTTTCCATTTTCTTAGAATTTAGGCCCAAACACTACTACAAAAGCTATTGTAAAACTATGATGAGCAGCAAGATTATTAAATTATCTTGAAAATCTTGCTTAAGCCCATATAAATGGTCCTCCAAAGATTCTTTAACTATTATTATAAACAGAATAATAAATTTAGTCACCTTTCAAAAAATTTTAGCCCTAAAAACTGTTTAGAACATATTAAGAATATGTTTCTGGATTAATATCTAATCCTACAAATTCTTTTACAAGTAATTAGGAGTCTAAATTTATAAATAAATTTGAATACTAATTGTTGCATCACTATGATCGAAATCTTAACAATAACCATCAATTAATATTTAATTCTAATTATTACATGGTGTACATTAAGTCCATTTGGTAAGATAGTAATTATTATTGCATTACAAGCATTTAAATTTTTCAGAGCATTGTTTACATTATGAAGGGCAATATCCTGATGATATCTCAATCGTTCTAATAGCCCATCCTGCATTAGAATTTCTTAAAATATATTTATATATTACATATAATTTCCTATTAATTTAAGTGTAAAATAGCCTGATAAAGTAGTTTCTAAATAGATCTAATAGTAATTATTATATTAATAACTTTATGTCCCATCAGAGTAAACAGAAGTTTAAAATGTTCGATAAATTATAAATTTATCTGTTTCAATTACTGTATTATTTTCATAAATTTTAGCAAAATATGTATCATTTATAAGTAATTCAATACTGCTTCCAGTTGGCATTTTATTAAATAAAACTAATTGTAAATAAATTAAAGTTAATTTATAAGTATTTATTAGATTTACTACTCTATAAATACCTTAATTCATTTTAAATAAACCAAGCAAATAATAAGTATCATAGTAAAAATTTCGAGGAATAGGAAGGCTTAAGTCTTTAAAATCATATAATATTTGCCAATTGTACTATTCTTTTGTTTTTTACTCTTACAAACCAAGCAATAAATAATTATTTCCTAATTTATGAATGTAAATAATTACTATTATATTTTTCACAATAACCATTTATATAAAATAATTAGTCCATAGGACAAATTATCTTGCATCCCTACTATTTTACAAAATACGGTCTTTCAGGTGGACATTTGTTTAAACAAGTATTATCGAATTGCACTTAACCTTAAAAACATTCAGAACATTGATCAGGTTAACTTCCCCAGCATGTTTTACAATTTGGATGACATATCAATGCTGAATATATAAAATTCTTTATTGATGCATCACCACTTATAGAAATTGCTTTAAATTAATGTTATCCTTTGATAGAAGTTTAATTTATTGTAAAATTTATTGTTTGAATAAATGCAGATTAGCTATTACAAACACCATTTGCAATTTATACTTTTTATATCGAATTATTATAAATCCAAGAATATTCTTTACTATTTATTGAATACGTTACTTGATCTAATTCATTCCACTCCCCAAAAAGTATAAGATCAAATGTAACAAAAAACATTTAATTTTCAAACTATTGATATTTGAAATAATAAGCTATTGAATATGTATTAGTAAGAGTGATATAGCTACCTTATTCTGAACAATTTAAGAAATTTGCAGTTGTTTTTACTCCCCCATTATTTTGAACAAACCCATCAGAATACTTTTCACAATCAATATCATTGGAAAAAACAAAATATTTTTTTTATGTTAAGTATGAAGCTATTGAAGTCCATTGACAATTTGCCTTATGTAACATTAAAAGAATAGCATTTATTAATAAAATCATTATTTAAATTAATAAAAATATTTTTTTTCTTTCTTCCATTTAAATACTCATACTATTAAAAATTATTTAAGNACAGAAGTTTAAAATGTTCGATAAATTATAAATTTATCTGTTTCAATTACTGTATTATTTTCATAAATTTTAGCAAAATATGTATCATTTATAAGTAATTCAATACTGCTTCCAGTTGGCATTTTATTAAATAAAACTAATTGTAAATAAATTAAAGTTAATTTATAAGTATTTATTAGATTTACTACTCTATAAATACCTTAATTCATTTTAAATAAACCAAGCAAATAATAAGTATCATAGTAAAAATTTCGAGGAATAGGAAGGCTTAAGTCTTTAAAATCATATAATATTTGCCAATTGTACTATTCTTTTGTTTTTTACTCTTACAAACCAAGCAATAAATAATTATTTCCTAATTTATGAATGTAAATAATTACTATTATATTTTTCACAATAACCATTTATATAAAATAATTAGTCCATAGGACAAATTATCTTGCATCCCTACTATTTTACAAAATACGGTCTTTCAGGTGGACATTTGTTTAAACAAGTATTATCGAATTGCACTTAACCTTAAAAACATTCAGAACATTGATCAGGTTAACTTCCCCAGCATGTTTTACAATTTGGATGACATATCAATGCTGAATATATAAAATTCTTTATTGATGCATCACCACTTATAGAAATTGCTTTAAATTAATGTTATCCTTTGATAGAAGTTTAATTTATTGTAAAATTTATTGTTTGAATAAATGCAGATTAGCTATTACAAACACCATTTGCAATTTATACTTTTTATATCGAATTATTATAAATCCAAGAATATTCTTTACTATTTATTGAATACGTTACTTGATCTAATTCATTCCACTCCCCAAAAAGTATAAGATCAAATGTAACAAAAAACATTTAATTTTCAAACTATTGATATTTGAAATAATAAGCTATTGAATATGTATTAGTAAGAGTGATATAGCTACCTTATTCTGAACAATTTAAGAAATTTGCAGTTGTTTTTACTCCCCCATTATTTTGAACAAACCCATCAGAATACTTTTCACAATCAATATCATTGGAAAAAACAAAATATTTTTTTTATGTTAAGTATGAAGCTATTGAAGTCCATTGACAATTTGCCTTATGTAACATTAAAAGAATAGCATTTATTAATAAAATCATTATTTAAATTAATAAAAATATTTTTTTTCTTTCTTCCATTTAAATACTCATACTATTAAAAATTATTTAAGATAATAAGAATATCTCAACCATAGAGTTCATGATAATATTTGATATAGTAGTAAAAAGTGTTCATTTTCTCGAAAAAAATTAGATAGTATAAATAATAATATAATATTAGTGTTATAATATTAAAAAAATTTATTTATAAATTTTTTAAATAAATTCAGAGAACATTCGATAAATTGTTTCAAAATGCTTTTTCTATAAATTTGAATAAAAATGATAACAAAATTTAGTGTTTAATTTTATTTTGTAAGAATTAAAGTCCATTTTATGTGATATAAATTGATTATATGAATTTGATTTATTTAATAAATAATTATTGATATTCAAATGATAGAAAATGAATAACTAAAATGTTTTTAAAATCATGATAATCCTATTTGCTCAGTTATAATCGATAGAGATTTTAATAAAAATGAAAGGTTGTTATGCATGGAATGTATGCAAGATTTTAATCGAAATGTTTAAATAAAGGGTATTAAAGCAATTAATTAATAAATTGAAAACAACCTGATGTAGAATGGAGAAAAAATAAAATAATTGTTATTTCCAAAAAAGGAATAATTAGAGAGATTATAATAGGAAATATATGATTGGAAATCTTTTTTATTAAACTAAATAGATTCGATTTAAAGAGTCTTAGTAGATTGGACTGAATAATTAATACCAGAAAATTTTATGAATATTTAGTAGAGTTTCATTGATTTATTAGATTAATATTTAAGAAATAATGATTAAGGCTAAAAAGATTTTGAAAAGAAGGTTAACATGATTTTTAAAATAAATTAAGCCTCATTTGAGAAAATAAATTATAAATTAAAAGAATTTAACTAAAAAAATAAATAAACATTTGAAAAATTAAAGTTAACCTTTTTATAAATAGTAAAAGATTCTACTCCCTAAGCAGATCTTAAATTAATTACAACAAAAAGATAATAATCTGATAATTGTTGGGCAATGTCTTTTAATCATACAGGATAAATGTTGGCATCAGGATGTGGAAATAATATATAAATATGGAATTTTTAAGATAGTTAAATGAATGAATTTTGTTTATTATAAGGTCATTCTGATGTTGTAAGTTGTTTAATATTTAGTAAAAATTGTGATAGTTTGATCTCCAGTAGTTATGATAATTCAATTAGACTCTGGTAATTAACTTAAGAATAAGAATGGAAGAGTTCTCCATAATATTAAAAACATTCAGATAGAATTCTATGTTTAATATTAGATAAAGATGAAAGAACATTGATTTCAGGAAGTAATGATTCAACAATAAAGGTTTGGTCTGTTGATTTTAATGATTTCAAATTGCATTATAGTTATTCTCTGATAAAACATAAAAATAGAGTTTTTGGATTGTCATTGAATGCATCTGAAAATTATCTAGTTTCTTGTGGTGAAGATTGTTAGATAATTGTATGGGTTAAAACTTAAAATGGTATTTGGGAATTTTAATAGATTGTTAATTAATCAATTAACAAATGGGGAACTAAAATAGCCTTTATTCAAGAAAACGAATTCATTTGGCTTCCAGGTGAATAAACTGGAAATGATTGTATTTGCTTTTTTGAATTAAAGGATGGTGTTTTTCAAGAATAATAAGAAAAAGTATTAAAATTATAAGAGAATAATCAAGTGATTGATTACAGTTTGTTTCCTATTATGGTTGATAATAGAAAAAACATTATTTTGTTTAGACATAAATTACATTTTTATTTGCTAAGAAAAAGAGATCATGGAAAATATAAGATTATGGCAAAACTTTAATTTTTGCATAATTCAACTTTTGGAGCCATATCAAACGATTCAAAATTTTTACTAATTTGGGAGGATAGTCTAAATTAATCTTCGTTATATAGTATTGAGCATTTTTAAATTTGAACATGAAAATCTGTAAAAAATAATATAAATTAAAATAGATATAATAATTTTACTTAAATTCATAAACATATTCTCTTTGAGATTTCTTATACTTATAATTCAAAATTAAAATTTTTTTCTTCACTAAATTTAAAACTTAAAATATAGCATCCTCTCTTTTTTGATATGATTCAAAAAACGTAAAAATTATATTGAATCATCTTTTAATGATTAATTGAATTTATATATTTAGAAAAAATTAAAAAGATTTTTAAAGGATATTGATTATACTGGTTTTCAAACTATTTAAAATATAAAAAAAAGTATTAAACTCTTTATTTACTAGTATTACTAATTAGGATGTTATTATTTTTATTGTTTTATGAAATTGAAGGTACAAAGAACAATTAATTAGACAATTAAATTATCTTTATATCTCTGTTATGAAATCGCCTTCTTCTTACAAATTCTTTTGATTCTGTCATTTCTTTTGAAAAAAGCTTAGATTAATCAGAAATATCTTCAAAAAGTTGGATTTTCTTTAAAAATATTAATTTTCAATAAGTAATATAATCTTTATGATGCAAAACTTACCATTTTTTCAAATCCTAAATCCATTACTAA